GTACTTTTTATCGTTTAGATGTCACATCTCCGAAATAAACTAAAAGTAAGGTACAACTAAATCACACTACAAAATTCATGCAAATCTAGGGCTATTTAAGCCTCTATTATCGAAAATCGCTCCCCAACCCCTAATGATCGAGAGCGCACGAAACAATCGAAATCAGTGATTATTCTACTTTCTTATTATACGACAATGGCCCATGGACTGTCCTGGTTCGGCAAAACAATCTAAAAATTGTAAAAAATAAGGGAAATAACTGATACGCAGCGACAAACTGAAACCCATTAGCTGGATTCATGATTGTTCGCGCCCAAATCATAGCGCCAATCAGGTCCCACACAATTTAAGCGCGAGGCATGATCATGTGGAAAGGTAAAGCTGCATTTGTGAATACTGGATTTTGTCTGTTTACCTATTAATAGACATTTATATAAGATTGGCCTTCATTGGAATCTATGAGACTTCACTATAGCATTGCAGTTTCATTTCCAGTGTCAGTGGGTCTGTAATGAGAACTATGGCTTGATCGGGGACAGGGAATTTAATTCAATTACAGCTAAAAAAATATAACTATATCACGTCGGTTTTGCGTACCTGCACAATTAGGTAGTATTATGAAAGTATTTAACTACAGCTGAAAATCCTACTGGAGATATCATGATTATGCTTCAGTCGTTTCGCCCACCTGTCTCGGCCTCGTTAGTCAAATTCTAAAGCAGGACAAACTAAAGGAATTGATCTAGCTAGGCTTAAATCTATGCAACGAGCATTACTGAAAATTCACTCAATAGAGTAGAATTTATCCTAAGGATAATGAAGAAATCTTCAATACTAACTCAATAGAAAAAAAAAACATGATGTTGATGAAAAAAATTAAAGCAGATTATTTCCCTCTAGTCAATGAATAGCCATATGACTATGGCTGGTGTTCACTGACACCTACGTCAATAATAACTGAACGAATGTTAAAACTTTCAAACTAGGCACAGTTCCCCGAGGTATTCAATGGACTCTTCTGGTCCGATTGTCCTATTCCCCCCCTATTTGCGTTCTGAAATTTCGCGTGACCGTCCTTTGATGGAGCCGAACCTTCCTCCTGCATTTTGACAAGTACTTTTTGCAAATCGACCTTTTCGTGTCTGTTACTATCGGAGCCGTACTGCGTCTGCTCTAATATTCTTGCTTGTAATGAGGGCATTCGACGATACGCCTATGCCTGACTTGATAGCAGGATCATACTATTCGGATCATGTGCATTGGCTACACTTTTCGCAGTGTTCTGAATAAAGCTGAGCATCGGCAAAAGCTACATTTTCTAGTGTACCTGATCGGACTGTCGGGATCTTTTTTGTATACACTGGCAAAGCTGGCGATTCGAATCACGATGCCTATACTATCGAACATCCCAAACGTAATATTCGAGCCGATCAAAATCTATTGTAGATGATTAAAAATTCAAGAAATTTCTTTTCCTAAATTAGCATCAGTGTAGCAATGCGATTGCAGATTGCTATACACAAGTGTTGATCGGAAGGTAACCCAGTTGCATTGGAGACAAATTAAACTGTCGTTAAAATGACCCTTCGCGCGTTTTTTCAACTGTCATTGACATGAAGACGACCAATTTATCTAACGGGGTCTAGTTTAGGTAAGCATCCTGTGGCTAAGGTTCGGCCAGCTCTTCAAGATAGCTTTGTCGTTGTCTCAAACAGAGAAAATTCATAGAACATTATAGTTTAAACGATGTTTCTACAAGTAGAGAAAACAAAACATGCAAGCCTGCGTCAGCGAGTATGCTACAGCTTATATAATGAGCTTTATGCACAGGCCAAGAATTTTAATTAAGCTTCATAACTGGGTTTACATTATTATAATGTTACGTCTAATCGCATTCTCAACTGACAGTACGTTGATGAGTCGTACTACGCTGAGAGTACTGATACGTCTCGAAAACAACAGCACTGTTTTCCAAGTATTATCGTTCCTACTTCTCATACTAGCCGTAACATATACACGACTGGTTACTCTGCAATTACGTAACAGTCAGTCATCTGCTGCTTTTTTCCCCAACCCGAATTAAATTTACCCGATGATACCTTGACCACTGTAGCCCGATGCAGTGATCTCATAATAAATCACATCACATTAAAATATTTACTATTAAATAAAACCCTATTATATTATCGTTGTCTTTTTTACTACAGCCACGCTCACCTCAGTTAGCGGGAAACTATACAACCCTTATTTTATGGAGTCAATTGAAGCCACGCGAGCGCAGAAGTGTTCCAGTAACTATCTCTACATTATCTCAATGCAAAATGAACTTCGTGCATGTCGTTTGTTGATATTAAATGTTGTACATATTTCCCTTCGTGTTTGCCATCGTGCTTATTTGATCTGTTGGTGAAATAAAAAGTCCAATTTGCACGTATTTCCAAGGCGCTGCTGTTTTTTCTGAAAGCGTTTAGTCCCAGGGTATTGCTAGTGTCTTCCTTACGACCTACTCTCTTATTAGCACCCTGAGAGTTTTGACATATATATGAACTTACGTGCGTGTTTTAACTGAAAAAAATGTATACATATGCAAGACTCTACTCGGAATGTGTGTATACACTTCAGTCTAAGGGACACAGAGAGCAGATCTAAGAATCAAGCGGTTAAGGCCACAGTTTTTTAAGCACAACAGTTTATTGCTCAGGCAATTTTTTGTCGCGTAATTGGTAACCTAAAAGTTTCTTGGATGAACACGACAGCCTGCACATTAGGTTGTTAGATAGTCTTATAGAGGACTTGCAAGGGTTTTATAACTACCAACTAGTTAGAATCAAGCTTCTCGCGCAAAAATTGAGTTATAGGAGCTTGTAATAGAAGGACGGCTGGGCTTTGCCTATAACTTATTTTGTCCGACAAACATCAAGTTTACAGACTTACTGACCATAAGCTAATTGGGCGAATGCTCAGAGTTGAGTCTATGCAAGAATGGTGCAAGGAAAGAGCGTGCTTCAAAAAGGCGCAGTCTATAGTTGTCCTTACTTAATGGAGCGTTTGATTTGTCTCGTGGATGCTACTACGCTCCTAAATTAAATTGCTAATTCGCTTTAAACCCGGACAGAATTTGGAGAAGCTGCCTATAAGCCACGGGCCGGTTTTTCAGTACAACTCATGGGTTACGTATCATACAATCTAATAGTTCGGTAGATTTTATTTGACTGTCGATGTAGCGCCGGAGTTACTCCTACATAGGCACTAAGAGCGATTCTGTTAAACTTACTATATCATTAGTGAGTGTTTTCGAAGCGGACTGTACCAATACAAAACAGCAACAGCTTAAAAATTGCCTCTTTGGGACGTTATTAACATAACTAAATTAACGGACACTTAGCGACCGGCATCCGATCGTTCAAAAGAACCCAAGTAACGTCTTTAATGAAACTGTGCCTGAATTAAAAGTGGGTCTATTTTAACTTAATGCCTCTGAACGCCTGAGTTCAAAGTGCATCGACGCTTGCGCATGTAATATTCTTCAAGCATTCGAAAACCTGACTGTTGTTTGCATCCCTTTAAATCGTCACTTGAGCTCAAATAAGTTTTCAGTTCCGACCGAAAACATGCGGCAGAATAATCACAGGAAGAAGAAGTTACAACGACGTCTGGCCGGACTGTATTGAATCTCTTGTGTCAATGAAAAAAAAACTTTCTCTCCCTCTAGATGGTTGTATGGAACGAGGCTCCGAAACATATACAATTTTGATAAGTACAAGTTTATGAGAGTATTCAAAAGGAACTCGATATTGTGCAGTATCGTTTGGCTAAGCGAGCATGTGGGCAGATGCCTTTTGTATTCCAAAAATAACAAATGACCAGGGATGGTTTGAGGGTACTTTGCATTTGTACAAAGAGTGAACGAACAGAAAAAGGACGCCGTATAAAATGTAGCGTTATATGCTAACCGGAGAAATACGACCTTTATAAAAAAAAAAAAAAAAAGAGGAACTCCATGATTCGGTTCACACTATTGTACATTTTAAATTATATAAGTAATCTATTTTATTTCGGAATACTAGTAAATATAGTGCATTAGGATAGATAAGAATTTTTCACAAACTGTTCACAAAAGTTATGGACATAGTACAGGTGAAGAAAGTTAACAAACATAATTTTCCCCAATCCCCCCAGACGGAATAACGCACCTTATGGTCTGTCGAAGCACATGCTAATAGCTTAAAAAGAGTGCCCTTTCACCGTAATTACAGTCGGGTAGCCATACGTATAACATTATATCGACATCTTTATTTTGTGAATTTCTTTTCTTTGTGGGTCATCTCCAAATGTTTTGGTCCGTTGTTAAGAACATTATCTATGATATGGCTGACAATGCTTTCAGAGGGGTCCACCAAGAAATTAAGTGGATTCAATTAGAATCGTGTGCTAACTATCTAATCATACCTATTTTGTAAAAAGAAGTTGTTATTATTATATGCTGAACATGATGAAGTCATGCAGATGTAACATCTACATATTTGTAATACAAACCCAATTTAATTTAGCCGTTGGTAGTTGTGACTTAATAGTCGTCCAGTTTCTATCTGTGGTCGTGTATTTTTTCCATCTGAGCATTTCTACAACATTCTTGTTCGAGCTGGTGGTTGACGCCCTTGTATAACATTAGATCGTAGGCGATTCAATCAATGCTCGTCTCCGAAAAGTCATAGCGATCGAATGGTAGAGTATGTCTGAACCCTAGGAAACTGTATATCGTTCAATGTCAAAATGCGGCTTTAGCTGCTGAAACAGCGGCTGAAACTTAATCGTACGGCGTTTCGACATATGATAGGGTAGCGCACTTACAATTGTTATCATATTCTCTTTCGAAATATTCAAATTTCGATAGTTAAAGTTCGTGTCATGCCAATTGCCGGAGCAGGAATAGCGGCTGAGCTGGATCCGGTCGGAAATGCATCTGTAGAATGACTAGCCATATTGTGCGGCCATATTGTGGACGATTCTCGAACTATTCACAACGGATGCATCACGGCATAAACAATGACGACACCAAAGTATCGTGATGATTGTTTTGGTAAGTATTAAATAGTAGTTAAATGAGCAATTAGACGGTCCGCACGGTAGCTAACTTTCGATACCTTCACCTCTAGGTGTGGCAATACGACACACGCAGATTGAAAGTGACTATAGGATGCATTAATTCGCTTCATATTCTATCATCAAGTTCAAAACGTTGCGGACACCCCTTTTGATAAAGTGGTAGAGATATTGTTATCTAAGCACGTGTATATTTCCCAGTGTTTTTCCTGCTACTTAACCGTGAATCTGAGTATAAGCGTAATGTCTAGTTTGTCGTTGTTTTTTTCGCAGCACAAGTAACTCCTAGGCGGTCCAGCCTGCAGAAATCGCCGTTTGTAAACAGGTGAGTCACTAGGGCTGACTAACGCAACGGATATTGAAAAGTTGTTTTTCTGCTGATGATATTCTTCGTTTTTCGGAAGGGGATCTAAAATGCATTTCCACACACTACCAGCTTAACATGATTGGTCAGATTGTAAACCAGTGTGGGGTTCTCACCAAAATGATTGTATCCGCTTTGTCAGGATGATATCTACGTGTAAGCTATTTGCTTTAGCCAGCCGAAATCCTTATTTACTAGTATTACGTGCTAATTGGAGACAAAGCAAAGCCTATCAAGGATTAGTTGGCTGAGTTTTATCAGCTTCCTTCGAGGACAGGTTCTCCACCATACGAGGCGCAGTTTGGTCTCCTCAGGGGTTTCAGCCCAGCGAGGATGACTGAAAAACAGTGCCACCCATATGGGCAGCAGGCGCCTGAAACTGATCTGACTTGGATAATCTGTCTTTATTTCCTAGTTGCTTTGTTCTGTGGCGTGCAGGATTAGCTTAGCGTCTTAGTTTGTTGACTCGCCCGCGTCCTTTAGTTAGTTTAATAAACGCTTTACTTACCTCCTTTCCGGACGCTACTTTTTTTTCATACGATAAATCTCTGACCACACACTTTCTTATACACCACTGTGTCAGCTCTTTCGCTAAAAATCGGTTACTACTGCGGAGCTGCAGTGGTGGCGCCATCTGGCTGTATCGCTTCAAAAGACCCCGTGTCCGGGATCGGCTGTTTCCTGGGGTTCAGAGAGCACAAAAAACGTATTTGATCCAACGACTCAACTATAATCAATGGCAGACGTTATGGAAACGCTGAAATCGGGACGTGGAATTATCATCAAGTGAACCCCACTAGACCTTCCACTCAATTGCGTATATAATGCCCGCATAAAGACAGCTATTCTATTTGCTTGATATTAGCTATTTCTGACAAATAGGCAAATTCTAGAGGTAAGTACAAACTATCTAACACTCCCCTACATTACAAGATTGCGTGCAAGAAGAGCCCATGTTCACCAAGTGCATTTCCCTCTTGTATATTTAAGTAGACGTGTCAACGAGGCCACACCTACGAATGCCAGGAAGACAGTTGCCAACATCTCAGGAGTCACTAGCAGTGGAAGGAAAGCCATTGCAAGCGCCGTTGCTAGCGGGACCTCTTCAAACAGCAACCATGGCGTCAACAAGCAACTCAAGGGAAGTGTCCTGGTTTGTCTTTGCAATGGACGGGGTTACTCGACTGGGACCGTGGGTTTGGCAGCCCTCGATCTGCGAACGAATCGCCTATTTGTTCGACAGTTGGAAGATACACCGAATTACTACACGACTTGCACAGTTCTCACCGTAGGTCGTAGGGGCATGCATTGAGACTATATGTAGTTCGATGGTGAAGCGGGAACATTGTCTTCAAAAAATCTCGTAAGCCTGTGGAAAATAACCCAAGGTTTGAAAGTTGCAGAAACAACTTTCATGCAAATCTAATGCCAGTCATCGAAAACGTATATAAAGAGGGTGAAAATAAACCGTGCAAAAGGTTACCCTTGAAACGGTCATTCCTTTTCGGTTGGCCTCGCATTCAACCTGTCGGCACCTTCGTTAACTTAAATCAGAACTAAGCTATATAGGAACGAGTTTTGCTACGGGTTCGAACGCAGGTTTATCCAAGGACAACAAGTTACATCGTACATGATCGAGAGACGGTTACAAATACCAATTTCTGAGGCTCCCTTTGCAACCATTTCGCGCAACATTTCGGCCGGCTGCCAGGTGGAACGGCCCTCAGTCTCCACATGGAAAAGCGCTGCTTCTCTGAAGTGGTTAAGTCCCAATAACAAGGAACGTCGTGCCTGTTCAACAGACACAGACTTGGCGAGCGATGTTGACATGCAATGTTAGTTAGCATTCGTGGGACATAAGCATCATCGCCTCATTTCAGATGGACTCCACGAGCTAGCGCTGACCAATCATAGGTTCGATTCGTTCCATCAGAACCAGCAGATTTCGCCTACGTAAAAGCTCATTCAAGTTTCTTGCAACGTTGTGAAACGTAGCCAGCAGCTTTTTTTCTTTTTAGCTCTATGATAGCTTTCGTATAGTACGTTACGTTCATCCCTTCGTAAACAGTGCATGAAATCTAGTCGCTACGATTATTCGCTTTCACAAGGCTCGTTTTGATGTCGGCTACCAAAATTTCGTGCTCTTCATTCAAGACTGAATATCGTTAGCAGCTGCCATTTTCTTTCGCTGGCAGGATTGAGCAGGACGGTCGCTTTATATTCACATCGTTCTGAAAACCATAGACGTCCAGGTTTGTCCGGAACCTTGTCCGGTACAATAGCATCGATGCTCGTTTGTACGCGTATACTGGGAGCGAGTTTACATCATCGATTTGTCCACAATAGTGATAGTGGCGAAAATTAGATAAAACCCTTACCTAGATCAAGGCATATGTACGATAGGAAAGTAATATCAAAGATCGTTGTCAATAAACGTTGCTTTTTGACCTGGTGATTCACGTATCGCCCACTGTCCGTAGACAAAATATATAGAATACTCATAATGCGATTATAAACGAGCTAGTTGAAGCGATAGTAAATTGAAAACTGTTGATCGACCATCCACTGATGCAATTGTAAAGCAAGTAATATTAAATTTTATTAATTACATTAAATATACAGATACGATGTATCGTTTACGGGCGGGTCGACTCTACTTCAAGTCTGATCCCTTGAATGTGATTTTTCCTATATATTTAGAGCTTGGACCCAATGGAAATCACGATGCCCCGCACCGCGCTTGATGCAAGGCCTGAAAGACAGTTGGTCAAACAGCTGAAGCAATTCTTTCCTGAGGTGCAACTCACCGGTACGTTCAACGAACTAAGTAATGTAAACTATTGTATGTACATTTACTTTCTTTAGTCACACTAATAACATATCATAATAAGTTCCGCGAAGGCTTGGATCACATTGAGTCTACTCACTTCAAAAACGTAACGGAAGACTTCAAATTTAATGTTAGTTTGAGCACTGAAACATTTTGACTGACCTAGAATGTTTAAACACAGGATACATTTAAAATTAATAAGGATGTTTTCAAAAGAAATTACTAAGTTAGAGTTAGGTAGGTGGATTCGTGTTATAGTCGGCGGTGGCTCCAAGGGTAACAACACAAATTGGATTAAAATTGACTTCGAATCACGAGGCTGCCAATTGGGTGTAACGACCGCTAACTTGATACGCGTTAATAACGAAAAACATAAGACGTACTTCGCAAGGTTCTATGAAACAGGTTGAGTAACTAGCAGATTGAGAACACGGAACTGGTTTGCCTTATTTGTAACGTGTGGATGTTGTTCTGGTCCCTAAGATACAGCTTTTTTTTTTTTTTGCCGGTTTAGGTATTGAACGCCGATGGTACAATGATTGCAAGGGCGTCGAAGTCCTTCGTAAATTGAACATGTTTCCACAAGCGGTGCCTCGTCTTGACATTGAGCTACGCAATAAGTATTATGCGCTTGCATCCGCCAATGCGATCTTTAAGTACGTCCATACTAGCCTCTTCCCGTAGACCAATGCAGACGGTCAACATTTTCTGTTGAAAAGATTCGATATGGCATGCTTTACCCCGAAAAGGCCACTAAAATGGATCCGTTAGAAAAAATTTCTTCTACAATTTGGTTTTGCCACAGACAATCCATTTCCATGACCAACTGTCTCTATTGCTCCGGAACGCATAAGTCAAACAGCGGGCTCCCGCCGCTACAAAGCTTTTGCGCCTTTAATGATATCTATTAAATTTTACAAAGAATAGCCACATCGTGAAACGACGAACCGCACTAGATTATATTGAAAGCTAGACAAAGCCTCTCCAGATGAGACATTAAAGGTGTAGCCGTACATCGATTACTAAACTGGCGATCCGGTTTTTATCGGAGCTAGTTATTTTTTGCCCCTATGTCAGTTATGGTCTTCGTTACCTAGGATCAAGCATATCGCTATGGTTTTACGAGATCATGAGGGAGCTCGTCTGTATTCATTCTTTCCGTGGAAGGAAGCAACCCTTTCGGCTTATACTACGGCCGTGACTAACTATTCGGCAGTCACTTTGTATCCATGCTTATCCAACACATGGACATGGAGGTACACAGATGGACGAAATCTTTAGAAACGATCTACTGAATGATTAAGTATGCGTGACTAGATAATCAACAAAAAAAAAATATGGCTTCTATGAAAAGCATCGACTTTACCGAGAACAGAAATCTCGTAATTAAGAGGTGTAATTTTTCGTTTTTGAGGTGTAACCATTGAAGCGATACTACTACTACCTATCTTGTAGACCAAGTGTCAGTTTGAAGTTAGATTAGGCACTCAACTGAAAATAACCAATAGCTCTTTCCAATTTTTTAGTGTAATTTTGCCTACATTGATATTTTTTTGGGAATTAGATACGCCGAATTGGTACAAAAGGCGGCCGCGCCGAGAGCCCGTTCACTACGAATTGACATACTCCCACCGGTAGAAGGAATCTGCCAAGTTGATGCCGTCACCGTTCGCGAACTGGAGTTAATTGCAAGCCTAGATGTTGCTAGCGACGCCTATAAGTACACCCTTTTCGGTAAGTTTAGCTTTTAGGTTGATTTCAATTGATATTCCCATTAGAAGTAATATAAACCATCGTTTCTTTTTTACTCTGTATCTTGCCAGTTACGAGCGTTTGAGTTTAAAAAAAACTTTTCAAACCTTCTACTACAGGAATATGAGATTGCGAAGACGATTTCAGAGAAATCTGACCACCTTAAAGCTACTTCCGGTTTTTTTTTTGTTGGACACGAACATCCAGTAAATGTCAACGGCTTTATAAGAAAAAACACGTGGCGTCAGAAGAAGAAGAAGAAGAAGGATAGCATTTTTTCGACCAAGCTTTTTTTCCTTATTTCTTGCAGCTTATTTAGCATTCGTCTGGCCGCATGGCAGTGAATACAGGTACTATGCTTGTTTTTTTTTTAATCAAAGTTGGCCTAAAAACCCATTCATTGACAAACAATGATCTTAGCAATGATGTCCGCACGGGCGCCGAGAATATTTTTGTAGGGCCACAAAGTGAGGTTTTTAAATAGCATCTATAAACAATCTGTTTTTCTGAATACGTCATCATATCGCCTTGTTATGCGACTTTTTAATTATGCAGACGTAATAAATTACACAGCAACTGGTCCAGGACAACGAGCACTCAGACTAAGGCTTCTGCAGCCACTGCGAGACCTAGCCCATATTGAGGAGCGTCTTGATTGTCTCACCGAATTGATTGATCGAGCTGCACTTGCTCAGGATTTGCATACTTTGCTAAGCAAGACCATCGATCTCGAGCGACTTATCACCAACATAGTGAAGGTTGGTTTGGCGGAATCTCCGATGTAGTTTATACTAACTTCCCGTTCTACCATTGAGCATTTGCCTTTCCAGATAAGTTACAAATTCTGAGAAAATAGAGATCAGAGATGTACACATTTGCACAGACCTGTCTAAAGTCTAATTCTATACCTTAGCTAGTTTGAGCGTTGTCCGTGAACGTTCTCAACCAAGTGTTAGGCCAGAAGTAAAGTAGTAAGGATCGATAGCCTTTTAGAAATGAATATTTCATATAAATTTTCTTCTTATGTTAATTAATTTTAACGCTGATTTTTTAGTTGAACAGTATTCAAAAGTTACTCTGTTTAGCAGTGCCTTTGGCCTTTTCATAGAGCCAGGTTTAGTAGGTTTTATAGCATTTGAACTTTTGCTTACGTTACAACATAAAAAATCAGTAAAAGTAGTAGTTGATATAGTTTGTTCCGTTCTATTCAATTGCTCAAACCTTGATCCAGTGAATGAGGTATATAAATTGTTTGTTTGCTTACACTCGACTCATCGTCTAGAATAAACTGTCCTGCGTCTCCGTCGGATATTAGAATGTGTCAAATGAAAAACGATACAACAAACAGCATAAAATATACAATTCTTCCTCACACGGCCTTCTGTGGTTTAGGATGGTTTAGGCGGTGGAGACCATGCAACTGCTATGGCGAACCGAATACAATGCCTGTTATCCCTCAAACACAACCTTGACCTGCTGGAATCCTTTCAAACAATTCTGGGGCCGTACGCTAAGGAGGCGGGTTCTGTTCCTGGCGCTTGCAAACAACAGAGAATATCCTATATCAGCATACTCCAAAGCTTCATGTCCGATCCGAGATTCAAGCAGATCTCTAAGGTCATCAGTGAGTAGCACTATATACAATAATATATACATTTAATATATATAAATATAAATTTATAAGTTCAGCCGAATGAAGTAGTTGGACCTTTAATCATAAATCATAATAAAAACGCACGTATTTATGTCAATAGCCGCACGAAGCATCAATATCATTGCGTGCCTACACAACTATGAATGAATGCTCTTCGGTATGATCTAATTTTATGGAAATAACGTGACGCAAGACATTCTAGTAAATGAATTATTTATAAAAAAAAAAAGATATAGCGGTAATGATGAAGCACATTCGAAATGCCCATTGCCGATAGCTGGAAATGTAATACAGTGTGGGCAACGCCTGATTTCGCTGCTATGAGTTGTGACCTGCTCGCCGTATTAGCTTGTCTCGCGTGTTGGTAGAGATAACTACAGATGTTTTACAAATGAGCATTGTGCTAACGAGTTCAACACATGAACCAGCTCACAGCTGTCTCTAGGAATATAGGTTTCTAGTTGTGTTGTTTCTTTTGTTATCTAACTATATCAATATGGTCTATTGTCAGTTTCAAATCTAGACACTTAGAATCGGTCCACTAGAACGCCCAAAAATCATCTGGGCTACTTTGGTAAATCCTTATAGCCTACTTCCTGTTTTTCTCTGCATATCGTTTATATATCAACCGCTAATAATCTTGGTAACATAAAACTTGTCTTTTCTGTAGAAATAGAAAATAGATATCATTCTGTAGAATAGTTAGCTCTAACAACAAATGTCTGCCTCTTTCCTTAGACGACTACTTTGTCCCTGAAGCGTTTCTGAACCGTGGTGTACTAGATTCTCTAACTGCGCGTATTGGCTGCATTCGTGTTGAAATCAGCGATACTTTAGATCAGTACCGCAGATTGTACGCAGAAACCATTGAGGAAATCGATAACATACGGACGAGAGCGGCCGAAAAATACCAACTCAGTAGACTTCAGCTGGCCTTTTCAGCAGTAAGAGGATTTCACTTTAGTCTTCCGAGCTCCAATCACTCAATGTCCATGTTGCCTCCTGAATTTATCAAGGTAAACGCCATCATATCCTATGTACACAATGGCAAACTTATATACACACACACACACACACACACACGTATATATATAGTACATCTTCTTATTCCAGCCGGAGTAGATTTAGGCTCTTCTATGCATCAAAACGTATAGTGATCATATACAAGGAACATAGTAGTAGTAAATCGACTATCTGCAACAACTGAATAAACCTTTTAAAAGCAGCTCTAAAAACATAGGAAATAATCATGTGTAAGCTTCAAATGAGAGTTTAGGTACAAACCAACCTTAAATGTACGTACGCTAATTATTGCTACTCACAATATCTTAACATCTGTAGTACCCGATTCTCTCGCTACCAAAGAATACACATGTGCGACATCGTCATTTCAGATAACCCATACCCGTTCAAACTATCACTTCACAACTGAGTCACTTCTTCGGGCTAATGAACGCCTAAATTGGGTGGTAAACGAAATTTACCGAAGTTCAATTATCGTCCTACAACCAGTAGTAGACCAAATTCGGCCTCACATCGACAGCCTATTCAAACTTGCAGAAATGTGGACCGAGCTTGATGTGACCTGCAGCTTAGCGATTTTAGCTAGCGTTAATGATGGCTTTGTAAGGCCCAAATTCTCCGATTATGTTACAGCTGTTGAGGAGGGCCGCCACCCTGTACTGGCGCGCCAGTGGTCATTCGAAGACCCTGACGTATTTCACGCAAACCCTGTTCGACTGACCACAAAAGATAATATGATTATTCTCACCGGACCTAACAACGCCGGCAAGTCCGTCTATATGAAACAATTAGCACTGCTACAAATTCTCGCACAGATTGGAAGTTACGTACCGGCAAAGTGGGCGGTATTTCGACCAGCGAGCAAAATTTTCGCCCGTACAGGGTACGGGGATGATCTGGTTAACAGCTGTTCGTCGTATATGCTTGAAGTTGTACGCGTAAGTCAGGTGCTGGAAAACGTCGAAGAAGACTCATTGATCGTCGTGGATGAACTGGGTTGTGGCACCAGCGAAGAAGATGGAGCCGCGCTCTGTTTTGCAGTGGCAAGTTACCTGAGCAAATTTAAGGCGTTTGTCATTTTTTCCACACACTTCGAGCTCGTAACCCATCTTGAGAGGTTCTATCCTAATGTCAGTAATTATCATATTGATGCAAAAATTGAAAACGGTGTATTAGTCTATAAACGGAGTCTTGAAGAGGGAGTAACCCCGCTAACAGCATATGGCGTCCAAACGGCACGCCAGAATGGCGTTCAGGAAGCGATCTGCAAAGAGGCAGCAGAGGTCGCATATACTATTTGGCTTAATACTAAGCCGTTGAAAGCGCTTGACCAGGCTGATTGCTTGTTAAATCTGCGACGCCAGGCGTCCGCTTTGAGAAAAAAGGCAATAGCTTTCACTCGAGCAGGCTTCGCGAAATTAACTCGCGAACAGACAGCGGAACTCGTGGAAGACATCAAGACACTTGCGGAGAACAAACAGCAGGTGATGGGCATCATTGCAAACTGTCGAAGCCGACCTACTGCTATTGAATATGAAGCTACAACCCGTAATGGCAAAGACTACTCGAGTATTATACTTCAGAATTCCGTAGCTCGAACACCGATTTCGGCCAGCCCATTTTTTCCCAGTAAGGAGTAGTCCTTAACCGAATACTCAGAGCTCGTCTAACCTTAAAATGTCAGATTGACGTCTATGATGTGTAAATGATATGAGAATGTACTTTGTGCGCAAGGTTAGTTACTTTAAACGTAGTGAATGAGCACTGTGAAAAATGGTGTTTGGCAAACATGACAAGATCTATTAGAAAATTCTATTTTATTTAGTTGAATAGCAACGATGGCGCTGACCCTATCCGTATATTCAACCACGTACTCCTGTAGTATTACGCATATCTAAGTATCATGTAATCTATATCAAATTAAACAAAACAATTGAAGTTATCAGTAAAAGAAGTAATAACATAATAAAACTAGCCGATGGTATTGATCTTTTTTAAAAAGCTGGTTACGGGATACGAAAACTTGCTAATTAAGGTCAATACGCGAGATACGTTCATATTATATAGGGTTATATCATTATTACCGATTCAACCAGCTATAAAATAACAGGCTAAAAAGAGTTAGCCTGTGAGCTAACGTAAATAGTGTGTTTTCAGGCCATATTCGTGTTAAGTTTATGATGAAAAAGATATAGAAAGAAACCCTAACTAACTATAAATGGCCGACAGACCAGGGATATAAAATTTCTCACATTGGCCCTGTAAGTGAACGGGCTATTATATTTTGTAAGAACGTATAATATTTAAAACACATGCGTTTTAAATATCGCTTGATAGCTAGAGATAAAATATGTTAGTATGATATCGCCATGAGATGCTATTGTAGCTATAGTTAATACTTGGATTTACCAAACGGGCTCGAAAATAAGTTTGCCCCATTCAAACGTATTAAGACAATTATCTGTATGCGTCCCTATATTTTTCGTGTTTACTAATCATAGATAGATAACAAACTGTAAATCTATTCATTTCATGTATGAATCAGCTCTTCAGTACCTGACTACGATCCGTGAGAACTCTCGGCGTAGAGGAATCCTCTAGAAAGCTAAAAAAAAAATTACGGACGCCATAATTAAACAGTGCGGCAACAGTAGTAAGCAAGATAAGGCTTTCCAATCCTCTTACACATACTATTCTGACCCTTAAGCCTTTGTTTAGTAGCATCAATGTTATCCGAGCTAAAGGAAATTGCATCAGAGAAAATCCGCTCTACATGGCCTTCCCTTCTACAAAGCCATTTTCATTAATGCGGCTGGCTCCGTTTCGCGTCACTAGGTATTAAGCTGGCATAATAGCCAAAATCAACTTTTAACGAAAGGCGTTTCCGCGCCAGATATTGAACACATCGCTTAACGCTTATATGTGTGTCTGTTTATTTTAACGAGGTCCGAAACGTCTTTAAGTAAGCGCAACTTTGCTCTGATATCTCAACGATGAGGGAGGATCAATTGCAGGGAGGTGCTGCAATCGAGTTCTTGAATAGCCCTTGAACTGTTTGACTTCTTTAGTAGTACCGTACATGAATTTATTATTTCCCTGGTTCTTTCTGATATTCCATGGTTTTCTTCATATTCATCATTATATATCGCATTCTGTATTGGTGTTTATATTTCAACCCACCTAAGGAGGTGGTAGGAAACCGGTTTCGTGCAAGCTTCTACAGCATATCAGAGCTATTTTTGCATTTCCTACTTGGCAAAACCGTATCATTTTTCAAAGCCCATACGTTGGCTACTTCAAAGGTTGCCTTTTCCTGTCAACGGATTGATGCTTGTTGCAGTTCAGCAACCACTCCATAGCATTCTTAGATTCCAGTAGGTCTTTCAATCTTACAGACATTTAAGTTTTTTTGGCCTTCCGTTGTCCAAAACCTCTCACTTACAAATTGATGTCTAAAGCATCAGCCGGCCACAGGATCAAGAAAATGCGCCTGGATGGGAGCAAAGTCTTGGTCATGATGTACCAATCGCGTGAATTATATGAACGGGCATATGAACATTACCACTCACTGACTATGCATAGGAGTTTCAAGCTCCTCTCTTTATTCCCATTACAATATGCATAAAATTGAATTTTTTCGTAGAAGAGTTACTCAGAGCGAATGTCCTGCATCGCTAGTGACGATCGTACTTGCCGTATACCCCTCACTATCAGATCTAGGTCAAACATAAATCCTGTTGAGCATCCATGTGTCGTGCTAGATGAACATGCTCAGACCACAGAATTCATCGAGAAAGTTTGGCCTTTTTGGCAAAGACGCTTTTAGACAGCCGTACCAAATACGCTTATTCAATTAAAAGTTGACAAACGCAAAGTTATTCCTTAGGAATGTCCAGATACAATTTAGTCTTTATATACAATCGAAGTGAACTTCGTTTCAAAATTATCGTTGTCATGAATGCTAAATAATTTTTTGATAGGACGCCATGACACCAGTTTCGTTTACGTAATGAAGGCATAAGTTGTAGACCTACGCTTCCTTAAGGGACGTTACAAGATCGTACACAGTGCAGCCTAGTGTTGCCTTCAAATGTTGCTCCTAAACCGCGCTCAATTATTAAAACTATTAACGATTGGTCCTTCCAATAGAATGCGGGTCCGTCACGTCCTGCAGATGTAGTTATTATAAGGTTCGTCGGCACCTTTTACTACTACGTGGACTAGACGATCGGTGCGCAGCGTTTTGACAATGTCTTACTTACATGCTTCATTTTGAAGAATTTCGATAACTCGAAAATGGTAAGCAAGAAATGAAAAAGCAATTTTATTTGCTACATCTACTACAGATACGCTCCACATATAAGGACAATGAAGTATTTGCAATAGGCGTGTCAAAAATAATTGCGACTTCACCTTCTATGATGCCTACTGCAAATCCCCAAACCGTAGAACAGATTCAAAGCATTATTAAATTTGTCAGAAACTGACGATACATGCGAACGTATGTAAGCAGTCGCAGAGCTCTCTTATGCAAACCTAATGTTGTTATATATGTACAAATATAAATATCGGAATAACCTATACGACAAAGGATAATGTTATATGTTAGTTGTTTCAGTACTTTACGTTCAAGCTTCTCTAAACTACGATTAAAAGTAATTATATGATGCTACATGTTGCATTAAAGACGCACTTTGTACGATGTTTTAAATGCTCAGAATTGAAATTCAGCTGTGAAGTGATAAACTTCCGTACGTACTAGATCCACTGTAATCAGAGAAGAAGAGCTGAATTGTTTGCTGAAATGTTTCGAAGGTTACCGAAGAGAAACGGTCGTCTATAGAAATGGATGAAATATAATTAGAGAGGCAGTGTTTTATTTTCGCCTTTTAATTGACAGGCAGATAGATATTAGTTCATTATAACGCTGGCACTGCTGCTTTGACGGACGCTTGCGTCGCTTGCGGTACCTATAGTGCTTTGAATTAGCCGTTGTAAATGTGTATCAGCTTCAGTAGCGCGAAACGTCACTAGGAAGTATGTTGAAATATAATTCAGTTCTTGTCCTAGCGCTCATATGGTTTCAATATCATCATATCAGTTTGAGCAAAGTGAACCTGCTAATTTACAATAAGTAATGATTAGTTATTAAGCGAAAAATTTAACCCTAAGTCTCGTGACAAATAAATGAGTGGGTAGCCGCCCACGTCGCCAGATCGCCCACAGTGAGTAACCTTTTTTTTTTTTTTTTAACATATTCCACATAAAACATGGAGCCAATAGAGCATCTATTATCTGTAGTGATATCTAAGTCCAACCATCGGTTTATCTAGTGCTCGCTTTGGGGGCTGTCATTCGCTGCCTCAACGACTCGAAACAAAAGCCCTTCGGGAATCAGTTCTAAGTGGATCACCTATGTCTGTTAGCCTTTTACGACTTGCTATGTCCGGATCCGGATGGTTTTCATAACTATTACGTAAAGTGTTGAGCTTGGGGTAAGAAAGTGGCCGCAGCAGACCACTTACATACGAGGCCGCACATCAATAAACATACGAGTGGAGATAAAACCCGCAAGTATTTCTACTGGGCGATTTCCGCGTTAAGCACCACCAAAGTTAACTCAGCTTGAAGTATCTTCGCTTAGGTCACTCTAGCTGAGTGTCTGGGAACAGTTTGGTAGGTCCAGAGAAATCTGAACATAACTTGTAGGACTGCCCATTCGCCGTTGTCATCATGATCATCACATGTATACCATATGTTGGCATCACATGGTCATCTAGAACTCAAAAGTTCTACCCGTAGTAAATACTGAGCGTTATTGGATCCACTTGCATCTGAAGCTTCGCACAAGTTTTGCCCTGATCGTAAAATATAGTCTTCGTCCTTTTACAGTATACTTTTATCAATACCGATTGCTTATATTGAACAACTCACAGCATGCTGTTGATGCATGTGTACTGGATGAGCATTAGGTCTCTCCAGCTAGAGAATTCGATCAACGAAGTGACCGCACAACTGAATCTGTGTGAGACTTGCGGGTGCCCGAGTCTTGACATGCGCTCTTTCTAAGCTGTGATCGCCTTAAACGACTTCGTGAGCACCGAATTAGTGCCGAAGCAATCGACGTAATTACGCGGTCATCCGGCGTCCAGGAGCTTCGCCAAGAGCCGGTTGGTCGCTTATTGGGCCATTTTATGTCTATCCTTTCTAGGGGCACCGACGTATTAGCGTCTCCTTCACACTAGGTAACTCTTCTTCCTTTTTTTTTTTTTTAATTTATTTTAGTCCTAGTTTCAGATGAAACTGTTTATACAACCATAAGTGGAGGGTAACCACATGTATATAATTAAAACATCCAATATGGTATTGTTACTTAAAGTTGCGAGTTTCTACATAAATTTTTTTTCTAATTTTCATTTTGATAGAAGTTCGATAAAACTCGAGTGTTCTCCTTAGATGAAAAAGCGGGAATGGATGCCAGTATTTATTACGTATGGCATACGTAACACGTACGTAATATTTTAATGTATTACATGTTAGGTTCATTTGCTCGATAGGTATTCTCAATAGCGAGGGGGTCTCATGTATAATCGCTTGGAAATGTTAATTCAACAAAGATATTAAACTTGTTTTGTAAACTTGTAAATTTTGTTGGTGCCACTATCTTATTTGTAGTGAAATATTTAAGCAGAACTATGGATATACGGAGCTTCTGGAAACATAGGAGCGTATATATATCATCATAGTAATACATGATTCGACAAGGAATAAAAAAGCGTTGTACGCTTTTACATTCTGGGCTAAATAGTTAGCTGAGGTAATACACAGGCGTGTCGGTCAATTTTTCTTATTACTGGTACA